CAGCAGCAGCAGCAGATATGTCCTGCTGCTGCTGCTGCTGCTGCTGCTGCTGCTTCTGGGGGCTCGCTGCGGGTGCAGGTGCTGCGGGCTGTGCCGCGAGCTGCTTCTTGCAGGGCCCTGACTCTTTTAGCTGTCCTCAGTGGACTTGCTGCTCTTGCCGGTAATTCCTAAACCCTAAACCCTAAACCCTAAACCCTAAACCCTAAGCCCTAGTCGGGCTGCGCTGCAGCGGATACTCTGTCCCCAAAACACCCACTTACGAGCCCAAACCCTAATCGGCGAGCCCCAGACCCTGAGCTCTAAACCCTAAACCCTAAACCCTTTCTGCTGCTTGTGCCTGTTCAGTGTTTTGCTGCAAAGCCAGCTGGGGGCCCCTAAGAAAGGGGGCCCCTTCTTTAGTCCCTTTTGAAGATGTGGGGGTTTTGGGGCCCCTGAAGCCCCGCATGCAGCAGGGGCCCCTGTTGCTCACAAACCCTAAAAAGGGGTTTGCGCAGGATGCCAAACTCCCGAGGGGTTTGCTGCTTGAAGGGCCGCCAGGCACAGGTAGGCGCTACTAGGGTTTAGGGTTTGAGACTGGGCTTCTAGGGTTTGGGATTTGAGACGGGTTTTAGGGTTTAGGGCTTGCCCACGGGCTACAAGGGTTTAGGGTTTCAAGCTGAATTGCTAGGGTTTAGAGTAGTAAACTGGTTTACGAGGGTTTAGGGTTTGGGACGGACGCAGCAGCTTGTAGGGTTTGAGGCTCCTAGGGTCTAGGGTTCCAGCGAAACCCCAGAGAAGACCTTTTGCTGCAGGGGCTTCGGAAACGCTTGGTCCCTAGGGTTTAGGGTTTAGGGTTTGGGGTTTAGGGTTTAGGGTCTAGGGTTTAGAGTTTGGGGTTTAGGGTTTAGGGTTTGGGGTTTAGGCTTTAGGGTTTAGGGTTTGTGTACGCAGACAAGGCCCTGGTGGCACGGCGGGTCTCTGACGGGCTGGGCCTGCGCTTTTGCTGCTGCTGCTGCTGCTGCTGCTGCTGCTGCTGCTGGGGGGCCGCCCAACTTAAAGAGCTGCAGCAAGGGTTTGAGAAGGCAGCAAGGGGGGGCCCCTGTGCCCTTTTTATAGGCGACCTCGACTCGGTTGGGGCCCTCAGCGGCACTGGCTGTGAGCATAGGGTTTAGGGTTTAGGGTCTAGGGTTTAGGGTTTAGGGTTTAGGGAACAGCGCGCAGGAACCCTGGAAGGGCCCGCTAGGGTCTAGGCGGCAGCTGCTGCTGCTTTTAGCTGCAAGGCGAAGCAGGGAAGGCAGGGAGCCTGGGCTAGTGCTCCGCCTCGAGGGTTTAGGGTTAAGGGTTTAGGGTTTAGGGCTTAGGGTTTAGGGTTTAGGGTTTGAGTGAATGCGGTGCAGCTGGGGACTGCCAAAAACGTGTTGAATTCCTCAAGGAGTTGCTGGCGCTAATAGATGGCCTGGAAAGGAACAACGTGTACTTTGTGCCACTGGAAGCCACCAAACCCTAAACCCTAAACCCTAAACCCTAAACCCGCAGTGTGTTCCGGATTCCAGCGCCTCCTGTTTCCCCGCCAGTTGCCTTCCAAGGTTTACAGAACAACGTTTGGGGTTTAGGCTTTAGGACGAAGGGCTCACCGCTTAGGGTTTAGGATTTAGAGTTTAGAGTTTAGGGTTTAGGGTTTAGGGTTTAGGGTTTAGGGTTTGTGAGCAGGCCAGTGCTGGTGCTGGTAATGGCCGCCACCAACCGCGTGGACTTTCTCGATGAGGCGCTGCTGAGGCCTGGCCGCTTCGAGCAAACCCTGAGCATCAGAGAAGGCCAGCGGTAGGGTTTAGGGTTTAGGGTTTAGGGTTTAGGGTTTAGGCTTTAGGGTTTAGGGTTTTCAGGGGTGCGTGGGTGTTTGTTCTGCCTTTCTCTCGTCATCAGCCGTCACTCCGGCCTGCAGCTGCAGCCCCTCTTCGCAGGCCCCAAACCCCAAACCCTAAACCCTAAACCCTAAACCCTGGCATGAAGCCCTCAAATTATCCAGCATGCGTGTGGGGTTTCAGGGAGGCGCTGCTGCCTGTCCGCTTTCTTGAGGTGTCTGTACACCCTGAGGTGTCTCTACAGCAGCCAGCAGCAGCAGCAGCAGAAAGCGCGCAGGTTCCTACTGCTGCTGGCTGCTGCAGCAAATCGGCGCTGCTGGCAGCAACAAGCACTTTTGCTGCTGGGGGCCCCGGTGAGGCTGCTGCAGCTCTGCAGCAGCTGCAGCAGCCACACAGAG